GGCACACTCACAGCCACCACAGCCTCAATCTGTTGGGCTCAGGTGACCCTTCTGCCTTAGCCTTCCAAGTAGCTGGAAATAGAGAAGAGTACCACCACGCTGGGCTAATATTTTTTTATTTATTGTATAGAGACAAGGTCTCGCCAAATTGCTGAGGTTGGTCTCAAACCCCTAGGCTCAGTCAATCCTCTCGCCTCCACCTCCAAAGTGCTGGGATTACAGGCGTGAACCACTGCACCCAACATCATGTTACTTTGAATTGGGATTTCCAGCCATTCTTCAGGGTAAGTCATCTTGCCAAACTGAATGCCATTTTCAAGTCGACTTTTAATCTGATTTGACTATGCAGGTTTGGTTTCTACATACTTAGTGCTATGGTCTGAACATTTATTCCCTTCAAAATATATGTCGAAATTCACTTACCATTGTAACAGTGTTGAGAGGTGGGACCTTGGAGAGGTGACTGGACCATAAGGGTTCCACTGCCATTATAAAAAGGTAATTGGGATTACTGTCATTATAAAAGGGTCAGTTTAGGCCTCCTTCTGTTTCTTGGTCCCTCCACCATCTGCCGTGGGATGACACAGCAAGAGGGCCCTCCCCAGATGCTGGCACCTTGATATTGGATTCCCAGCCTCTAGAACTGTGAGCCAATAGATTTGTGTTCAATATAAATTACCCAGTCTGTGTTCTTCTGTTATTCAAAAATGTCATTTCTGCAAATATATACTTCCTCCCCTTAAACATTTTCTACTTCTTTTTCCTATTTTTCTCTTTCTGATGTTCTCTGTGTTCATTTTCTAGCCCTAGAGAGAACTCCTATTGCTTTATGTAAGTCAAGGCCAGGGCTCCCATCCCATTGTTCTCTTCCCTGATTCTCCTGACCCCTGGGGTCACCCTCCCTGTTTCTTCATTCTCTTTTGAAAACGCCCTCACCGGGCTCGGCGGCTCAGCCTGTAATCCCGCGCCTTGGGAGGCTGAGGTGAGTGGATTGCCTGAGCCCGCGGGTTCAGGACCCACCTAGGCAACTTGGCGAGACCTCGTCTCTACAATAAATCAAAAAATTAGCCGGGCGTGGTAGTGCGCGCCTGTAGTTCCAGCTACTCGGAAGGCTGAGGTGGAAGGATAGCCGGAGCCCGGCAGGTCAAGGCTGCGGTGGCCGGGAGCGGAAAAAAATGAAAAGAAAAAAAGAAAACGCCCTCACCGCTAGACAAATTGGAGTTGAATTCAGAGCACGCTGGACTCTTTTCCCCAATGCAGTTGTAGATCACTGGTTAAAATCTGTCCTGCTTTGCCCAGTGTCTAGCTTTGTTTATCTTTGATACTACCAATCTTTTAATAAACTAAAAGAAGAGAGGTACCTGTTCTTTGCTAGTACTGCCTGGAAGAGGCTCCTTCCTGTGGCCAGGGCAGGCTATTCAGATCCCTTTGTGTTCATTTTAAAAAATAAATGGCCTATCCTTCAACACACTTTTGTTGTCCATGTGCCTACTGGACAATGTATGAGCTTGTGGAAAACTTCTACAGCACTGACCATGAATTTTACAGAATATAGCTCCCTTCTAAATGTTTTAAATTAGAGATTTCTATTACACGCAAGTCTTCTTTATTATATTCAAAAGGGCAACATAAATTTTTGTCATTTACTCTGAAAATATTTTGCTTATAATACCTACTCAACTATAAACACTACTGACAAAGATTCTCTCCTGGACCAAACTCCAGTCAGGCTCCTCTGAGTCTGCTTCTCGTCCTTGGCCTGTAAAGACTTGAACAGGCTGGGCACGGTAGCTCACACCTGTAATCCCAGCATTTTGGGAGGCCAAGGCAAAAGAATTGCTTGAACCCAGGAGTTTGAGACCAGCCTAGGCAACTTAGCAAGACCCTGTCTCTACAAAAAAGAAAATTGTTTTTTTAAATGAAGCAGCAGCAATTTTTATTGAGGAACCTAACTGGAAAATTGGTTTAGAACCTAATTTTATATAATGAAATAGCAAAAGTAGCCCCCCAAAAATGATCTTTTAAAAATCATTTTCCTGGTCAGGCTCGGTGGCTCAGCCTGTAATTCCAGCACTTTGGGAGGCTGAGGTGAGTGGATTGCCTGAGCCTGCGGGTTCGAGACCCACCCGGGCAACTTGGCGAGACCTCATCTCTACAATCAATCAAAAAGTAACCAGGCGTGGTAGCATGCACCTGTATTTCCAGCTACTTGGAAGGCTGAGGCGGAAGGATCGCCAGAGCCCAGCAGGTCAAGATTGTGGTGGCCGGGAGTGGGCCATTGCACTCCAGTCTGGGCAACAGAGTGAGATTCCAACTCTAAATAAATAAATAAATAAATCATTTTCCTTTTTTTCTCTTTTCTGTGTTTTTAACATATAGCAACTGATGCCTCCCAGTCACCAGGAGCATCTTACCCAATGGGTAAATCTCTGGTAATGACCCTTTTAAAAAGACAAGTAAAAAAAAAAATGGAACGCGTCATGAATTTGCATGTCATCCTTGCACAGAGGCCATCTTCTCTGTGTCATCCCAATTTTTGTATAGTGCTGCTGAAGCGAGCACTACAAAACAATTTTAAAAATTATCTGGGCGTGGCAGCATGTGTCTGTAGTACCAGCTACTCAGGAGGATGAGGTGGAAGGGATTGCCTGAGTCCAGGCAGTCGAGGCTACAGTGAGCCCTGATTGTGCCAATGCACTCCAGCCTGGGCAACAGAGCGAGACCCTGATTCAAAAAAAAAAAAAAAGATTCAATAAGCACTAACTATTTCTAATAGTTCATGGCCACATCCCTAGGATGACCCTAACACTGCTTAAAGTGAGTAAAGTCAAGGCTGCTGGAAGAATTTACTGCTCGTTCCAGTCAAAACTGAAGACAGTGCCCCAGTCTGTCAGCCTCTGCGGGAGGGTAGGACCCTAACTTCCACAAGTAAACACAGATTGATTTCACAAGGGCCAACCCCACCCTTCCTGCTTTTTGTAATTGTTCTCTTCCCTGATTCTCCTGAGCCCCTGTGCGCCCCCTCCCTGTTTCTTCATTCTTCTTTTAAAACACCCTCACCGCTGTACAAATTGGAGTGGAGTTCTGAGCATGCTGGACTCTTTCCCCCATTGCAGTTGTAGATCACTGGTTCAAATTTGTCCTTCTCTTTGCCCAGTGTCTAGCTTTGTTTATCTTTAATACTATCAATTTTATTTTCTTTTCTTTTTTTTTAAGTTGGAGTCTCACTCTGTCACCTAGGCTGGAGGGCAGTGGCCGTTCCCGGCCACCGAAGCCTCGACCTGCTGGGCTCCGGCGATCCTTCCGCCTCAACCTTCCAAGTAGCTGGAACAACAGGCGCGCGCTACCACATCCAGCTAACTTTTGATTTATTGTAGAGATGAGGTCTTGCCAAGTTGCCCAGGCGGGTCTCGAACCCGTGGGCTCAGGCAATCCACTCACCTCAGCCTCCCAAAGGCGTGGGATTACAGGCTGAGCCACCAAGCCTGGCTCAATTTTCTTTTAATAAAATAAATATCATGACTTTTAAATATTTTTTAATCACTCTAATTTTATCAGACATGCTTAATCAAACCACATAGGACACCCCCAGAAATTATGACTTAGAATATATGTCCATTAGATTAAGAATTATTGCTCTAAAAGACTAAATGTTATTTACATTATGCAGTTTTTCAGTACAGTATAAAATTGCTTCATATAGAATATAGCTCAAAATTTTGCTAATTTCTTATGGCCAAGGCTAAGTTCAAGAAAAATACCAGCAAGTTGGTGGCTCACACCTATAATCCCAGCATTTTAGGAGGCAGAAGTGAAAGGATTGCCTTAGTCCAGGGGTTCGAGACCAGCCTGAACAACTTGGTAAGAACTTATCTCTACAATACATAAAAAAAATTAGCCAGATGTGGTGGCATAAGCCTGCAGTCCAGCTACTTGGAAGCTGAGAAGGAAGGATCAC